TCTCGCAGGCTATCGCTCCACGTCAATTGAGGCACGGCCACCCCTGCGCGCCCCGCCCGCGAGCGAAGGCGGGAATCATACGTTTTCCCAGTGTCACTGCGCCCGGAAAACCACCGGAAACACCTTCTTTTTTTTTCCCTTTGCACCCCTCCCCATAACCCCTGGTGGCATTGGATCACGGTTCGGACTCGGTGTTATTCAATCGCGTAATCCAATCTTGTCTTACCGACGGGATATGGCTGAAAGCTGATTTCTAATAGTTATACACGTTAATAGTGTAGCAGTGTCAGAAATGGCCGATATGCAAATAATAATAATAATAATAATAATAATAATAATAATAATAATAAATAATATTAAGGATGGCGAGCCAAGTCTACGTCCCTGACGTACTCCCTGGAAGCTTTCATATAGATAATATGGATGCTAACGGACCTCTACGAAGAGCAAGTGGCCAGGAACGGAAGAGAATTCCAACGGTCTCTGGATCGGAAGAGTCCTCAGAGAAGCATGAAAAGAGAACCCGGGCTGAGCTGGCTCCGGCTACCAGTATCCTGTAAGTGCTACTGCCTAGGATTACCAGCGAAGAACTGGTGAAGCTGGCGTCATAGCCAAGGCTACCTCCTAAAAGAGAGAGAACCCCCAACAGAAAAATACTGGCTGTGGGGATACAGAGTAAACCCTGGGTTTTTTCCTAATATTTTGAGTCCATAATTCACAAAAAATAAAAAAAATAAAAAAACAAGGTTTGCAACCCGTACAAGCTCAGCAAAGCAGCCACTAGAATTAAGGAAGCCTCGGCTTCAACGGGAAATGGGTTTGCTCCAGATGAGGTGAGACGACAGCCCCATCACGACGCCATTATTGACAATTATCGCTATGAGCCATCAGAACAAGTAGAACGAATCGAACATACAGCCAACCACCAAGTGTCAACTGCTTTAAGTGTTTGAGCGGCAGCAAAGCCATTGACCACCAGAGCGGCTCGGCCTAACAAAGAACACAATGGAATGTGGAAATGAACCAGTTCCTGTTGCGCACTTATTATAGGGTGACCTGCTGTGAAACCGAATTTACTGGATATAGACTATTGCTTCATTCGCGATTGATACACCAGTTTCCCTGGCTACCCGTAATTGAGCAGAATCTAACTAACCAGCGAGCTTCAAACACATATTGCTTCACAGCTCTATTGCAACACCAAATTTAGGCGATGAGCCAAACTGTACAAATACTGCTAGAGAAGCTTTCTCCGTAATATTTCTGGAGTCTGTTTAAATGGCCAGACATCACGCTTGCACCACCATTACACTCACCTTCTAATTTGTGCTCATAGTACAAGTAAAATTGTCCCAAGAGTTTGTCCAATGAAGCAATGTATCTGGTGTTATATCAGCACTTATATCATGGAAACTAGGAAGCGCTCCACTACAGCTTATATTGACGGTCGTCAGGGCCCAGATATCCAATAATGTTCTTTACCATTTTTACGAAAAATCGACATTGGAATTGGTTATCTGAGACTGATATCAACCTCAGAGTGCGTTTCGCTGACATAGCTCCACCTCTCTATCGAAAGAGGGTTATGACAGTTCAATTTCAAATTGGTTGATGCAGAGCGGCGTGTAATAATGTAAATTTTCCTGTACCACTCAGTGTAGAAGAGATGATACAGCATTTTTCTAGAAGTACTCTCTCATTCTGGTGACCTGTTTTGTATTAATGTTACTGATTTTTAAGATGTCACAAACTCCCAACTTCGTTGTGAATGTGACCCGTTCAATTGAGCTTGTGGTATTATGAAGTTAGAAATGGGCCATTTAGATCCTGATAAGCCTTTCGAGTGTTTCAGTGTCAAATTTTCGACCATTTGACGATCTCCAATGATAATGCAGTTTTTGCTGGGTATATATTAATTGCTGCTGTAATTTTTCGTTTGAAAAATATTTTATTTGCTTTCCATTATTTAAAACAAATATTTCTGGATTATTTCTTTAATTTGCATACCAACTTTCTTTGTACATATATGACTCTTCTTTTGTACATATATTGACGCTTCTAAGCTGTTGGTCTCCATTGATACTGTTTGTGTTTTATTTCGCTAATGTGTTTACTTTTATTGATTTGAATTTTAAAATTTTTCAATAATATTTAGCATTCTTATGTTTATGGAGAATCTTCCGGAGGCATGCATCTTCCGGAGCTGCCTTAATTCCTGTAATATTCCTCAGTACAGTTTGATATCGTATATGCACGCTAGATAACACATTATATTTCCCTTGACCGTTAAATTTATATCCCACCCCCATATTTTCTGACAATAAAGAAAGGTAATTCATGGTAAGTCAAAACCAATAAGGGCTATGACTCACCGTAATAACACCTCTGCGGATTCTTAATGTCTTGGAAACGATTCTTTCATTAGTATTAGATGACATGTCGCACCGGTTTTTCATTTCGCACTGCAGAAAATTTCATGGTTCATGGTTCATTCGATACATTTTTAAAACATTCAGCAGTCAATCATGTGGGACCATGTCGAATATCTTCTTGTAGTCGATAAAACACGTATAGTGATCGCCTTTCTTTTCAGACGCTTGAGATATTGTGCCGTCGTTAACACGAGGGCCAGAACCGTTAGGTCGGTGAAAGTACGCTGCGGGGGAGGAA